GGCAGCTGTTCCAGCACCTCACCACTCTCACTGTAAAGAACTTAAAGAAAGAAGTGTTGAGTTTTATTCTGCTCTCTTATTTTTCAAGTTCTCTGTATGGTGTTATTGCCAAATTAAATGACACTGATAGACAGACAGACAGATATGGAGACACAATGTATGTCAGGTAAGGTGTCTCTGTCTCTTAATGAGCGTGACAGCTGTGGGAGCAGCACAGCCATAAGCAGACTCATCTGATACCTTTCCACCTTTGTCCTCTGAGATGCAGACAGCACCTCCAGGCTGGCTGAAACATTCTGACAGATTCCACAGAAATCTTCACTTTTCCTGCTCTACCAGAGCTTTGTTTTTAATATTTTATCATCATTTTTACTCTAAAAACTGGTTTGGTTTCACACCTTTTTTTTTTTTTTTTTTTTTTTTTTTTTGTAAGGAAATTGACAGAATAAGTTGATTTCCTATTTTACTTCAGCTGTGGAAGGAAGGTACTAATCTTACATGTACCAGAGTTGTCCCCACTGGCTTCTCACAGCAACCTCAGATCCATCAAATGGGGAGAATTGTGAGAGTATGTAAAACTTAACTGGATGCAGAGATAAGAGAAATTGTGCCACTGATCAGTTCTGTTAGCTTTGAAAAGAAGGCATGCAGAACTGAGGAAAAAAAAAATGTATTTTTTCCCTTTAATTCTTACCTTGCTTACAAAGATCAGGGCTTTAATAACAGCAAATACACCGCGTGACATTTGTTTGAAGTACATTATGTCTTTGACTTTGAAATGCTTCCCACTTACTATCTATGCAGTAAATCTTTCCAGCCATATCTGAACATCAGATGCCCACCAAAAACTACTTTGCCCTATTAGCATTTATGCCTCAGGAGCTGAGGCTTCTAAGGTAACTCACAATTTTGTGCAGACAGCTGTCTGCGGAACCATGGAACCTGAAGAACAGAATTCAAAACAGAAAAGCTTCAAAATTGATGTTTTGTTGCTGTTGATTTTCATGGTGTCTGAAGACTTGTTAATCCTGACAGACTGGCTACTACTGAAGCTGACTGTTCTTTAGTAACAGATGCTGAATTTCTTACAAGAGTAGAAAGTATTTGAGCAGAAGAAGTGAAAAGTTCAGTTTGCAAGGCCCAGTGTTACAAAGTTGGGAATTTCTCTGAGCTTATGTGACTCTCTGGAATAAAGTACAGCTGGTTATGAATATTTAAAAAGTCATACAGGTTTATCCTAAAGAGATTTCCTTCAAATCAGTTTCTTGAAGATTCTTCTCTCTTTTTCTCTAAAAAGACTTTGTAAAGGGAGCAGCATTTCATACCATACAATTAACTCATGATAGATTTAAATTTCTGGCAATCAGTGGGAACATAACTACATATCTTGATTGCTAATGAACTATTGGAGCTACTGAGTTGACTCATCCACAGCATCAAGGACAGTGATTTCAGTGAAATAACACAGAATTGGACTCAACAAAACAGCCAAAAAAAGACTAGCTACAGACTTAGCTTTGTAAAATACCAATCAACCTTCATGGCCACAAAATGATCCACAGAATGGAGGAATGAAAGACTGAATGGAGGATCTTAAGACTGCACTGATGACCAGCACTGCATCCATGCTAGCTTGTGCAGTTTGGGCAGGGAAGAGAGATGGTCCAGCAGCAAATGCTGCACATGGGGTCATCTATTTTGTCTTTCTGCTCAAGTAAGGGAGTTGAATCTGTTGGTTTTGTGTTGCTAAAGAATTCAGTGTTAGTTAACTGCCCCTGGGTCTTAGGGGAATCATTAGGACTTCTCTGTGCCTCCATGGCCACACAAAGTTTTCATGGTGAGTCTTTTCTGCCTTACCATTTCCATTCTCATTTATGTCTGCACAAAAGAGTATTAACATTCACTGTTGACAAGTAGACAGAATTGCACAGGGTTAAAACCAGCCCAGATTAAACTGTCAGTCAAGGAAGTCATTTTTTCCCCCTAAAATTATAGAATTTATCTCATAGTAACACAGAAAGGAGAGAAAGGAAACTTTCTCTTTCCTCAGGCTTTCAATGGAACTTGAATTTTCTCAGATCTATTCGACCAAATGGATACATCTGTTACTGTCATTAGCCCTTAATCTTAATATCATTAAAATGGCAGCTCTGAATCCTTCTAAAGCCAGACAAGAGCTCCCTGAAGTGAAGAAGACTGAACACAGTGTAGGTATTTGTGTAACTTACTTCCAGAAAATTACTAAATTTTTAGAGAACAAATATTTACTCCCTTTATCCCCCCAGATCCTGTAACCAAATCCATTTGGAACCCATAACCACATTCCATGTGGGTGGAATCTGCAATCAAAAGGCTTATGAAGTGCAAGGACATTTTTTGAAACAAGACAAAATCAGGAATGTTGACGGTCTCTGTTCAAGCACATGGAAGCATGTACAGTATTAGTACAATGAAGATTATTCTAAATTTTCTACTTGTCCAAGAAGTCCTGCTGAACAGATACTGTATCATCTAGAAGAAAAGACAATTGCTTCTAACAGCACTTATGCCAGAGGCCTGCAGGATAGCCATGAACACATTGCTTCATGTCTGTAACTGCTTTCCTCTTTGAAGAGAAAACAGCACCAAAGACAAACAATGTAAGTCACGGATAATCATTAAATACATTTGAAACTATGTTTTAACAATAGTTTATCATAGTCTTTCCAGGATTTTCTCCTTGCACTGACCAAAAATTGTTACCAAATTTGGAGACACTAGAGCAATACCAAGGAATCAGTAGATTAATTCTTTTCCATGATAACCTCAAAATAAGTCAACTTCTTTGAGAGCAGTGAAAATACTGAATTCAAGACATTAAAAAAAAAAAAAAAAAGTGAACCAAAAGGCAAAGCATTGGATTTATATACTCAGATATCACCAAGGTATCTAAGTTCAAGTTCTTGATGTCGCATCATCAAGACAACTCAGAGCTCAGCACAACTTCCCCAGCACTTCATCCTGTCTGTCAGGTGGCTTTTGGTGTGCAGTTAGTATTGTAGCACTGTGGGTAGAGAGAGGGTTTGAAGATAAGTAAGGTATGTCTACCTGACATAGCCATTACAGTCTCAACACTATAGTAGGTATACTTTGTATTTAAGAATTAAATATAGTTACACAGCAGTGGATGCACATACAGAAGCATAAATATGTTTCATACACACATGGAGTACATAACACTGACCGGCCACCAAACCATGCTCCGTCCAGCCAGAAAGAATCCACCCACTGTCCCTCGGTTGGTTGAGTACATAGCCTAGAGAAAAAATAAAGAGAGAGAGAAAAGAAGAATGATTAAATTGTGTTTTAATCATAATAGGCAAGCTATATACTGACTAACAACAAACTGCTAAAACAGGAGGGCAAAGTGAAAAAAAAAAGTGGCTAGAAAGAACTTATGACAAAGAAAACAGTAACACTAAACTGATGACCCTGTTCATTGCAGAGGAATTGGACTAGATGACCTGTAAAGGTCCCTTCCACCTCAAATGATTACGATTCTACAAACAGTGATTCTTGTGTCTAGGTCTATATTAACCATTCAAGCTTCATGGCTTCATCTCATTACAATAAAACCAGAACATTAAAATAACACTGAATGTAACAAAACAATTGATCACTCAACTACAGATTCAGTACAAATTCAAACTCAGAAGAACACTTCATTAGGGGAGTAACCTCTTTGATTTTAGGCACTAAAAAAGACTGAGTTTTGTACGTTCATAGAGCAGAAGGTATGCAGCTTTTCTCTTCAGTGTTATCCAGCTCAAGCAGATATCTACAAAAATCAATTTTCGTGCTGTGGTTTCAGCAGTGCACTCACTTTCCTCTGAAGTTCAAACAAAGTAGGCTAAAATTTCCTTTTCGTGCACTCAGTTTGTTTTTAACAAAGGATAGCCTTTAGAAGGAAGCTTCCTCCACTGGCTTCCCATTGTCTCCACTGATGGACTTTGAACAGGCAAATACAGGAAGAAGACTTGAAGAAAATTAGCCAAATATTTTATTCTGATGCAGAAGAAAGGGAATATGAAATAAATTTCCATTTCACTACACACAGCGGTTGAATTAAGCATTTGTCCAATAAAGAACACATTGTTGCTGGAGACAAATGGTTCCAGGAATTACTCAGAATCCATTATCCGACCAGCCCTTTTCTGACGAAGACCTTTGATTACAGCAACAGTTAAGACTTCACAACAAAGCCCAGTTTCTTCCCACAAGACAGCAAGGTGTTCAGGTACACCGAGGTCTTCAGATTTGTTGCTACATTTTTCAATCTACTACCATGACGAAAAGATAAAGACCGGGCTGTGATCATATTGTGTTCACCTCCAATTTTTTGTGCCCTTCAAAACACTGCCAGGCTGCTAGGAAGGGACGGGGTTTTCCTGCAGCATATTTCTCTGTTCTGTGAGATGCACCACTGCGATGCTCCTGGCAAGCACAGTTTTACAGGAGGACAAGGCCTCTGCTCAGCTGGCTAATAGCCAGGCGTTCAGGTGACCAGGAGCACTTGCCCCAAGGAAGGAGCAAGCCTCAGAGTAGCAGCTTGGAAATTCGGCACATTCTATGGTTCACAGCTTTGTAATAGATAATAAGGGCCCATTACTTCCAAACAGTTCAGCACCAATAGGATAATATCTGCCTTTCCCCATTAGCACTGTCCTTTGTTTCAGGATTAGGCACTGAGTTTTGCCCCCGCAGTGCTCAGCATATTCTGCATTGCCTGCCTGGGGGCAGGAGGTACAGTTCTGCTTGGCTCACAAGCAAAAAGTCAAAGCCATCTCTTTCCACCTCTGAAAGTGTCCCTTCCTCATAGTTTCAACGGAACTGTTCCCTATAGCCAAGGCCCCTCTGGCAAAAAGAAAAGCCACAATAATGCTGCATTCAAATGGCAGCTACAGTCTTGGCCCATGTCACTTTTCTGCTGAGAGCAGCCTGCAGCACAGTCCCACAGTCACAGCAGCAAGTTGACACCACAGACACCAGCCCATACTGCCCTCCTTGCACACTGACTCCACCTCCACTGCTTCCCTACAACTCTCACTTCTTGCTGTTTCCTACGGCATCACCTCACACAGCCAATTCTCACAGCTTCTAGCCTGCTTTCCTCCAGCAACCAGACTTGGCTTGGGCTTTGCTGACCTGACCTCTCACGGTTGGATCCTTCCCCACACAAACCCCATTACTCCACCTTCTCCACTATTTAATCCACGTAAACAGTTCTCTCCCCAGTTCATCTTCCCTTCTTCAGTAAATACCCATATTTTCCTCACCGTACACTTTTAACAATCTCAATTAAGCACCACGATTTTTAATAATTATACATTCTCATTTACTGAGCCATTTTCTTAGGAACCTATAACACGACCTGTTC